TGGATGGAATAGAATCGAGAGTCCACAAGTCTACCCATACGTTTATGCTCAATTGATTTTAGACATGGGGTATGAGACCATTCTATAGGGAAAGAGTAGCCTTTTCACCAAATGGTATGGACAACTGGATACCCGCATCAAAAGAATGAAGTTGGATCCCTACCTCACGCCATACACAAAAGTTAACTCAAAATGGACCATAGACTTAAATATAAGAGCTAAAACTATAAACTTCTCAGAATAAAACGTAGGAGTAAATCTTCATGACCCTATGAATTAGGCATAGGACACCAGAAGCACAGGGGCAAAAGAGTAGATAAATAAGACTTCACCAGAATTTAAAACTTTCTGCGTCAAAGGACACCAAGAAAGTGAAAAGACAGCCCAGAGAATGAGAGAAAAATTTTGTAAATCACGTATCTGATAAAGGACCTGTGTCCAGAATGTGTAGAGAGCTCTTCCAACAAAATAATAAAAGATAAATAATACAATTTAAAAATGGGCAAAGGACGTGAATGGGCATTCTTCCAAGGAGGACATACAAATTACAATAAACACACAAAGAGATGCTCAACATCACTAGTCATCAAAACCACGAGCTGCTCCCTCACCCCCACGAAGATGACCGAAATAAAAAAGATGGGCGATAACAAGTGTTGGCAAGGAAGTGGACAAGTTGGAACCTTCGTGCATTGCTGGAGAGCTTGTGAACTGGAAACAGATAAATCTGGGATGTGCACATTCCAGAGGACTAACAGACTCCGTTTCTTCAATAAGTCAGTGACAAGAAAACACGTTTTCTAAAAAAGTAACAGGATGTAACAACCGAATGCCACATGTTAGATCTTCCTTGGATCCTACTTCAAACCGATCGCCTGGAACCTGACATTGATGAGAATATCAGGAGACTTCGATTATGCCCTGGGTAGGAGACGACGCCGTGGAACTGCTCTTAATTTTGCCAGGTGTTTATATGAAAGCATGTCCGTGTACTTAGAGGGATGCTGAGCTGGGGCAGGATGAAAAGACATGTCCAGGACTGGCTTTAAATTAGCTTCAAGCAACAGCAACAAAATTGTTATCGAAAGGGGGTAGATAGAGCAGGTGTGGCAAAATCTCAGTAATTATTGAATCTGAATGATGGAGCAGGAGGACTTATCATACTCCTGTCTCCTTACTTTTGTGGGTGTTTGAAAATGTTCTTAGTGAAAACCATTTTTTTTTAAGATTTTATTTTTTTTTTATTAAAATTTTTTTCAACGTTTATTTCATTTTGAGAGCCAGAGACAGAGTGCCAGCGGGGGAGGGACACAGAGAGAGGGAGACGCAGAATCCGAAGCAGGCTCCAGGCTCCGAGCTGTCGGCACAGAGCCCAACATGGGGCTCGAACCCACGAACCGTGAGATCCTGACCTGAGCTGAAGTCGAATGCTTGACTGCCTGAGCCACCCCGGCGCTCCTAGATTTTATTTTGAAGTAATCTCTACACCCAACGTGGGGCTCAAACTCACGACCCCGAGATCAAGAGTAGCATGCTCTACGTACTGAGCCAACCAGGCTCCCCGAAAGCCTCCTTGATATGTATGTATGTATGTAAAAGGCCTGCTTGGGTTGACTCAGACAAGCCGCTTCTATGAAACTGGGTTTGCACATCTGGTAAAACAGGGGCGGTATCTGTCCCATTTTACAGATGAGGAGACTGAGGCTCACAGAGCCTGCCCAGGTCTCACGGCCAGCTCAGGAGGAGTCAGTATTAGAATCCCAACCCACCCGGCTCTCAATCTCTGGCTCTGTCTCCTTACTCCCGGTGGTTGTGGTGGCTGTAAGCTGCAGCTGTCACCTCTGGGGTGTGTGTGTGTGTGTGTGTGCGTGTGTGTGACCTCAGGGCCTCTCTGAGGCCGGCCTGAGGCCGTCCCAAGGTGGAGTCTGGGATGTCCTTCGAGTCAGCCGCTGCTCTCACACAGGCCCCTCAGTCCACTGTGCCCAGGTCACCCTCTGCCCCCCACTCCGGATGTCCAGGAGCCAGGCTTGGCGGCCCAGGCAGCCGGACAATGGGCCCTTTGGAGGCCCGGCCAGGGCCTGGGCCTTGGCTGTGGGCTGTGGCCGAGGCCACGACAGAAGGCCGCTTGTGGCTGGCCCCGGGCTGCGGCCAGAAATAGGTCCCGCTGGGCGCGAGCGCCTGTGGGCCCCCGCCCTGGGTTCGGCCTGGGAACGTGGGTATTTGTGGAGCTGAGGGGGAGGAGACCTTCATCAAGAAAGCAGGCCTATTTTGGGGCTTTTGGGAGGCGGGGAGGAAAACTGACCCCCACCCTTGGCTTCTACCTTGAGCCCATTCCTTTAGTGCAGAGGCAGGAGTCTAGGCTCCTGAGTCCCCCTGGGTTCAAATCCTGGCTCCTACCCAGCTCCCTGCGTGGCTGGTCACTTCCCTCCCCGAGCCTCGCTTTGCTCATCCGTATAATGGGGAGAAATCACGGTAAGTCCTTCATGGGATTGTAAGGATTCCAGGGGACGCCGGCCCATGGCCCCGGGAGCAGTCTGTGCTCCTAACGCGCGCCTGTTGCTAAATCACTTCTGCCTCCCCTCCCCCCAAGCCAGGCTGCCCCCTCCTCCCTCCTGCCCCCGCCCCAGCCAGGCTGCTCGGTTATCCCAGGCTCTGGGCTTCTCCAGACCTCGTCCTCCAGTCATGCACCAGGGCCCTGCAGGCCTTTTGCTCTGAGCTGGCAGCGGGAGGGATTGCGGGCGCCCTTCCTGCACGTCTGTATCTGTCCCTCTTGGCCCAAGCTGGGTGACGGGGGGCCGCTGAGGAGCTTCGCTGCGGCGCTTCGCAAGTTTAGGCCTGAGGTTCACAGACACAGACCCAGGTTCAAATCCACATTAATATGGGCAGCAGGGGGCCCTTGGACAGTGAGGGATGGGAGCGTGTATTTAGCTCTTCTGGAAGTCAGGGACCAGGTCTCCCCCCTCCCGCCCCCTGTGTGTCCTTGAAGCTATTTTTATGTGTTGCTGGAAAGCAGAATGAGAGCCAGGGCCAGAAGCACTGGGAGGTTTCCCGGGCGCTGCGGGTCTTGCCCAGGGGAGCATGGGCCGTTCCCAGCAGACTGGTGGAGCCAGGCCAGATGCTTCACCGTGCGGGAGGGGTCCCGTGGCCCCTGGGAGCCCGGAGGTCGTTACCAGGAGGTCCCAGCTGGTTGGCATAAAGGGGAAGAATAAGGATTTAAGAAGCCGCAAAGAGGGTGCAATTGTCCTGGGGTCCTTGAGGCCTGCATGAAAATCCAGAATGCTCATGAAGCTCACTATTTCATTCATTCATTCATTTATTCATTCATCTACTCACCCCTTCACCCATCACTGACCTCTTCACTTATCACATATTTAACCACGATCTTCCAGGGGCTGGTGGGGGATCACCCCCAAAACACACAGAGCCCTGCCCCCGCGGAAGATTTGCTCACAAATCCGACTGCTTTTCCTCTCTGGCTCAAAACCCTCCCCTAGCTCCCCAGTGCCCAATGGAGATGGTGCAATCTTTATACTGTGACAAGTCACAGGAACGTTCCCCACTCACCTAAGCCTCATAAAAGAGAATCTTGACCTTGCCTGTTCAGCTCTTCTCTCTGCCCTCTGCAGAGAGCTCTATCCTTCCAAGTCCGGTTCCAGGGAGAGGCAGGAGTGCAGAGCAGGGGGGAAGGGGAGGGGCGTGCACTCCCTGCTGGGTCGTCTCTGGACTGTTCTTTACGGTGAGGGGTGGGGGGGGCTCTGTGAAGTGGGGAGATCAGAAAGGGAACAGAGAAATCCCTGAGGCCGAGTTGAGCTGTCTAAAGAAGTGCTGAGAGAGCAGAGAGAGGCCAGGAAAGTCATACTTGGAGGGCTGCAAGTGAGGGGTTCTGGAGTAAACATGATACGTTAGCCCTGGAGGAAGAGGTGATGGGATTGAGCAGCGTGGCCGAGGGGTAGCAGTTGGATCCCCCTTGATATTCTTTGCAAGAAAAAAAAATTTTGCCCCCCCCCCCCCCCAAATAACACGTGGCTGCTGTCTCAAGCTTCTTTGAATGAGACTCTGCAGGGCCAGGGCCACTTGGGTCCCAAGAGCTACTCGGGTTACATTTATATGATCCGTGATCGGCCTACCTTCTTAACTCTGGGGCTCATCTCTTCACGCTTTTCCTCCCCCAACTCCTCGTCCAAAGCCCACCCTGCAGCCCAATCTAGTTCCTTGACGCCCTCTCAGCCTTGCTGGGACTTTGGCAGGAGCCCACTCTCACCCCCACACCTGTGCTCTTTTGAAGTATGTGGCCTCCCGGGCTCTCTGTCCCCCTGCCTTGGTCACCGGATTGACATGCACAGACTACTTCCTCCTTGCTTCCCACAGTAGAAGGATTTTTTTTTTTTTTTTTTTTTTTTGGTGCAGTCTTAGAAGAACAAAAACTTGGCGTGCAGGTGAGTTTTACCCGTCTGTTTACAACACACAGATAAATAATCAGAATATCCAGGGAAGGAGGCTGCCTGACCACTGTATCTCTCTGGTTCGAAATAAAGCACAGTAATTAATACGTTAAAAATACCTACTGGACCCTTACTATGTCCCAGATACTCGATGGGGTGCTAGCGATAGGAATGTAGATAATGGAACTCATTCCAAACCCTAACCCAACCCCAACCCCAATCCTGACCCCAACACTAGCCCTAAATCTAACCCCAACCCAATCCTAGCCCAAACCCTGTACCAACTCTACCCTTAACCAAAAACCCAACCCAAACCCTAATTCTTTAAAAAAAATTTTTTTTTAATATTTATTTTTGAGAGAGAGAAAGAGAGCACCAGTAGGGGAGGGGCAGAGACAGAGAGGGAGACACAGAATCGGAAGCAGGCTCCAGGCTCCGAGCTGTCAGCACAGAGCCCCATGCAGGGCTCGAACCCACGAACCGTGAGATCATGACCTGGATCATGACCTGAGCCAAAGTCAGAGGCTCAACTGACTGAGCCACCCAGGTGTCCCCCGAACCCTAATTCTAATCTTTGTGTTACAAATCTTTCCATAAATGCGTCTCCTTTTCTGTCGTAGTCAGTGGAGTGTGCTGAGTAATAATGAAACTCATCTGATTCTGAATCATCTGGTGCCTTCAGACTAGAAAAGGCAGAAGGCAGGTGAGACCAGGTTGAACACTGGCCGAATCCAGGGGATGACTTTGAAAAACAAGGTATATTTTAATGTAAATCCCCATGAATTTATGTTGTGTCACCATCCTTAGGGGACCGGGCCCGACTAAGCCAGCACCTGCTGACCCCTCCCCCACCCCTCCCTCCGCACCTCCCCCCACTCCTTCCCCTCCCCAGTCACTGGCCTCTGGGTCACAGAGACCTTCTTCAGTGAATGCCTCAGCCCCCTCTGGCCTCCAGGCAGCATGCACTGTTCCCTTTGCCTGAAATACCTTTCCTCCCTTCTCACCAGGCTGACTCTTGCTCAGTCCTCAGGCCCCTCTGAAATGTCACTTCCTCAGGGAGGCCTGCCCTGCCTGCTCTCTCCCCCAGACTCGTTTTTTTTATTGCCTTCATGCTTATGGCTCTTGCGCCTTTTGTTTTTTCAGGGCATTTATGGATATTTGTGGCCATGTGTTTATTTGCATGTTTCTTTCTTTCATGTCTGTCTCCTCAGCCAGACAGTGACCTCTTTCAGGGCAGGGACTGGGTTCGGCTCCCTGCTCACAGCCCCAGGACCTAGCACAGCACCTGGCCCACAGCACACCCACAGAAAGCTTTGTTGAATGAACGAATGAATGAATGCATGCATGCGTTTTCCATTGCTTCATAAAGACGAAAGAAAGATTCCTGCTAATTGAAGCTCCTGGCTAGGGATGTTTGTCCTACGCCCCGGGGCTGAGCCTGGGGAAGCCAGGAGAGAGGGGCTGGGTCCCTCCCAGTGCAGTCTGCCATCCACTTCTTCTGTGGAACTCTCCCAGGCTCACTTGGAAACAAACAGAGGGTTTTTTTTTTTTTGAGAATCCATTTCCTCATTTCAGATTCTCCACCACACTGAATGGGAGGTCGGCAGGTATCATTCTCACTGTTTTACAAGATGCTTTTGCCCAGAGAGGTAAAAACACTTGTGTGGGTCACCCGGTTGGTCAGCAACGGTGCCAAAATCGTTTCCTGGCCCCCAGCCCTTGGCAACGAACCTTCCTTTCTTTCTGCACCCCCCCCCCCCCAATCTGGAGGTGCTCAGCTCTGCGCCAGCCTCCAGGGACTTGGCAGGCTGGCAGCTGCCAAGGGGACCCTGACAGACCCCAGGCTCATCTTTGCATTTGTTGACAGGCACGTTGGAGCCATTGCTGGAACCAGCCTTGGGCAAATGAGTCAGAAGTCAGCACCCCAGGAGCCCCAAACAGAGAGGGTGGATTTTTTCACACCCAAATGGAGTCTTCCTTTCTGGAGGCTCAGGAGAAGGACCTCACGACGGGTCACTGCTGTTTGTTGAGCACACGCTGGTGCCACGCTGGGCGAATTGCTTGTTATCTCTGTACAGGTTTACGATCACTCAGCGGACCGGACGAAGAAATTGGCACAAAAGGTTCAGTCACTTGAGCAAGGCACCCAGCTAGCTAGCTAGTTAAGTGCTGCTGGTAGGATCTGAACCCAGATCTACTGACGTATAGACTCTTAACCTTATACTTCAAGGCAAAGAAAATCCCAGGGGTGCCGAGGAGACGCTGTCGAGATGTCCCCGAAACCGCGCGGCACAGAGAAGCCCACGGACAACCCCGGGTGGGCGTCTCGCGCACTTCGGACCTCCGGGGGCGGGGCGGGGGCGACCCGGGCCCCGCCCTCATTTCCCGTCGCCTCGGCCCCGCCCCGCGCCCCGCCCCGCGCCCCGCCCCTCCCGCTCCGGCCGCGCTCGGCTCCGCCCCCGCGGGCAGCGCGGGCTTCCCATTGGCCGCCGTTTCCATGGTTACGCGGGGCCGGTGGAGCTGCAGACTTCCCGACACGTGTCCCCCGGAGCCGCCCGGAATTTGACAGGGGACCATGTGCGCGGCAGCGCGGGAGCCAGACAAAGGGCCGGGGGAGGCGGGGAACGAAGCCGGCGGAGAGGCCGGGTGGCCGGGCAGGGATGAGCCGCCTGCTTCTCCCGCGAGCTGGAGCAGTCCCCCACCTCCTGCCTTTTTTTTTTTTTTTGTATTTTGAAGGAAAGAAAAAATAAACAAGAATTGCTGTGGAAAGCGAGGAGGGAGACGTTTCCAGCCAGTCCCACCTGCTCTCCCTCCTCCAGGGAAAACTGGGTACGCAGGCAGCATTTCCGCCCTGAGACCCCACCGTGTCATTCCTTACCCCACCCGGCCCCCGGGCTTGTCACCGCTCCCTGACCTCAGTCCTTGAGGTTTAAATGCTCTTTCTCTGGCTTGTTTAGGAAGCGAAAGCTTAACAGTGCGGTTGTTTTGATGCTGCAGAAATGCGACCCAAGGAATTGTGGGGGATCCTGCTATCCCCGTTCATCCTACAACAGCGACCTCACTCCGGTAGCGACCATGTAAGGACACTTCCCCCGCAATTTTTCCCTGGGTCCCTGGGCTCTGTGCCCAGCGAGGGCCTGGGCTGGGCTGCTCAGGTCAGGGCAGTAGACAGACTCCTGTCCCCGTGTGTTTGTTGTCCTGTGGCCTCTTGTGGTTGATGGTGTTGCCATCTTCTCAGTCCCCAAGCCAGATGTCCCCTCTCCCAGCCCCCACGCCATCGCCAGCTGAACCTATGACTGCCGTGATGCCTCACCACAAACTTAATGGCTTGAAACAACACAAATCTACTCTCTTACAGTTTTATGGGTCAGAAGTCTGACACAGGTCTCCCTGGGTTAAATCCAAGGCGGCGGTGGGCAGGGCTGTGTTCCTTCTGGAGCTGGAGGGGAGGAATCCTTTCCTTGTATTTCCAGGTGTCGAGGCTGCCCGTGTGGCTTGGCTGGAGGCTCCCTTTCATCTGCAAAGCCAGGAGAGGCCCACTGAGCCTTTCCTCATCCTGGACACCAACTCTTCTTCCCTCTTCCATTATTTAAGAATGCTTATGATTATCATCGCCACCCGGATAATCGAGAATAATCTCTCCATCCCCAAGTTAGCTGGTTAGCCATCTTTTAATTTTTTTTTTTTAACGTTTATTTATTTTTGAGACAGAGAGAGACAGAGCATGAACAGGGGAGGGGCAGAGAAAGAGGGAGACACAGAATCGGAAGCAGGCTCCAGGCTCTGGGCTGTCAGCACAGAGTCCGATGTGGGGCTCGAACTCACGGACCGTGAGATCGTGACCTGAGCCGAAGTCGGCCGCTTAACCGACTGAGCCACCCAGGCGCCCCCAGGGTCCCTTTATTGTCCTTCCCCGGAACCTGAATGTGCTCATCCCTGACCACCTTGGCTCAAGAGACCTGTGTCTGCCTCCCCATGTGCCCCCACCCCTGCCCCCTACTGCAAGCCCTCGAAGGTGACATCTGGCTAGCTACTTTTGCCACACTGCCCAGCATGGGATCGCCCAGTGACTTGGTTCCGGGGGGTCGGTGAGGAGACCATCTGAGCTGTTCTGGGAAGCAGAGGGAAAGTTGGATAGAAAAGCCCTTTCCCTCACGGTGCACAAGGACCTTTGCCCTGCTGCTGGCAGGTGGAATGGAATAAAATTAACAGCAACAACAGTGGGGGCCACCCTGCCCTCCGCTTCGTACTGTACCACCGCCTCGTGAACCGATTCTCACCACAGCCTTGGGAGATACCACCCGTCCTCCGCGCCCTCTTTTATAGATGCAGACCCTCAGGCCCTCGAGGTTAACCATGAACGGGCTTCCGGAGGGACCCTGGGCCAGGAGGGTGTCCCGGCTTCTGTGTGGAAGGGTGGTGGTCATCTGTCCGTTCCTTCATTCAGTGGAGGGGCGGCCCCTCCTCGGGCGGGGGGGCTGTGGCTGGCCCGGCTTTGGGGGTTGGCCTTGGGGGTTGGCCTCGGGGGTTGGCCGGCCCCCTCGGAAGCGGAAGCTTCTGGGATGCTTCCTTGTTGTTTGCTGGCCTGTTGACATCTTCTCCTCTCTCCGCCCTGTCCCACCAGGATGTGCCGGCAGGAGGTTCCTTTTCAAGAGTAAGGGAGGGGCCCGGGGGAAGCTAGCGGTCACCAGGGACAGCACTTCGGCTTCCGTTGGGGGAGATGAGAAAGTTCTGGAGCCGGATGGTGATGTCGGCTGGACAATGGTGTGAATGTGCTTGATGCCCTGAGCTGTCCACTTCAAAGCGGCTCAAAGGTGAACTTTTTATGCGACGTGTATTTGACGGCAATAAGAGGCGTTTGCTGACTTTTTGAACGTCAGCTGCCCCTTGCACACTTGACATTGCTCAAGGCTCCCGGGGGGCCGCACGCGTCCTCATTTCTCTGTGGGAACGACGTCCAGGAGGGTGGCAGCCACCCCCTTGGCAGATGAGGAGACTGAGGCATGGAGGCCGGAAGTGGTGACTCTGCATTTCAACCCGATATACCTCTAGGGAGAAGATGCAGTGTGGCCCGGGGTTAGGTGTTCAGGCTCAAAATGGGTCTGCCCTTCACTGTCGCACGGCCTTGGGCTTCCCGCTGCTGGCTTTCCTCTTCAGACAACTGGGGACAATGATAGTGTCCTCTCCGGTCCGGCGACAGCATTTGGCGAGATGATATTGGAAGGATCTAGCACGATAGCTTGGCCACCATCAAAAATCCGATCCCCTCCGGAGTCGGCTGATGCTCCCTCTTGGTGTTACGGCGGACGGTGGGCATCCCCTTCAGCCTTGACAATGGTAGGAACCAGCTAGGAAGCCTCCATTTGACAGATGGAGACACTGAGGCTTGAAGCTGTGCCCAGGGTGTCGTGGGGGGGGGGGGGGGGTGGCCCCAGGCTGAGATTGAGAAAGGCGTGTGCAATGGGTCTGGGGAGGGACAAGGATTAGGCCGGGGAGTGAACACCGGGGTGGGGAGGGTGGCTCACAGCTCGTCCACTTTTAAGCGTACAGGCTCGTCCTGGGGGTGGGGGGGGGAGGGTGGGGGGGAATCTAAATTCAGCTCCAAGCGGGAAAAGGAACCCTCTTCTCCTCCATCTCATCCAGCCCCCTTCTGGAGTTATGGGGGAGGGCTGGAGGGCTGGAGGTGGTCTAGGATAAAGGTGACGTTTATTTCAGCAAAGGCTTGGCGGGAGGATGGTGAGGGACAATTCACGCGCATAGCTGGACGAAGAGTGTCCAACAGAGGAAAGAGTAAGTGCACAGGCTCCTGGGGGCCCCTGAGGGACAGCAAAGGGGGCCCTGTGGCCAGAGTCGGGGTGAGCAATGACTTCAGGAGACTGAGGACAGAGGTCGGGCGCCGCGGCGGGGGGGGGGGGGCGGGCGTCAGCCACTTGGGGACTTTGGCTTTTGCCAGGAGAGAGGTGGGAAGCCCCTGGAGGATTTTGAGCAGAACGTAATCTGATTTACATTTTAACCACCCCCCCCCACCCCCCAGCTGCTGAGCTGGGAGTAGCGAGGACCAGGACCCAGGATGAGGACGAGGTTGGCAGGGGGAAGGTGGCATCTTTGGATGGGGGCCTTCGAGAAAAGGCGGAGTCAGGAATGACTCCAGAGGCTCTGGCCAGGGTCACTTGCCAGAGAAGGAGCCACTAGCTAAGGAGGCACCACAGGTTCTGGGAGGGGAAGAAGAGAAGTTTGGTTTCAGTTACCACGGAAATGCCGTTTGGACAACCAGGTGGCCATGAGCGAGCTGAGTCTGGGGTCCTCGGGGAGGGCTGGGTAGGGGTGTGAATGTGGGACCCGGGAGTATAAAGGGGCGAGACTGGCCAAGACCAAGTAGGACGTGAGGGAGAAAGGAGGGGCCTGTGTGGCTTTCTCAGGACCGCAGGACCAAAGTATCGCAAAGCCAGCGGCGGGACACGGTAGAAATGTATTCTGTCACAGTTCATGAGTGTACAAATCTGAGATCAGGGTCCCAGCAGTGTCGTGAGGGACTGAGACTCTGGCTGGCCCCCTTCCTTGCATCTCCCAAGCTTCTGCTGGGGGCTGGCGATCCTTGGCTTGCCTCTGGAGTCATCTGGCATCCTCCCTGTGGGTCTCTGTCCTCCTCTTATAAGGACACCGGTCATATTGGGTAAGGGCCCCTCCTACTCACGTAAGACCTCATCTCAACTAATCACATCTGAAAAGACCCGATTTCCAAGTAAGTTCACATTCTGAAGTACTGGGGATAGGACTTCAATATTCCTTCCTTCCTTCCTTCTTTCCTTCCAGAAAGAGAAAGGGTGAGTTGGGGAGAGGGAGAGGGGCAGAGGGAGAAAGAGAGAGAGAGAGAGAGAGAGAGAGGGAGGGAGAGAGAGAATCCCAAGCAGGGTCCGTGCTGTCAGCCCAGAGCCAGACGCAGGGCTCAAACCCATGAACCATAAGACCTGAACCTACATCAAGAGTTGGACACTTATCCGACTGAGCGACCCAGGCGCCCCTGTTTCGTCAATGGTTAAAGGTTCCCCCCACCCCGTAAAAGCGCTAAATGTTTACTTTACAAGATTTGAAAAATTCCAAGCCACATCATAAGAAAAAAATTTAAATGCCTTTAATTTCACCACCCAGAAATAATTACTGTTAAAATGTGATGATCTCTTTGCAGCATGTTTTTCAATGTGTATTGACTGCTGGGGGTTTACTGTGTTCAGCAAATCCTACTTCCCTTCTCTTCCGGGCGCCCGGCTAGACTACATTTCCCAGCCGCCCCTGCAGGTAGGGAGGCACGTGATAGGGTCT